CTGTGCCCTCCCAGCCGTGCCTCACCTGGGCACATGTGGGGCTGTGCACAGCCCTCTCCTGCCCTCTGCTGCCCCGGCCCCGCCTGGAGCGCGGCAGCCCCGCTGGATGTGTGTGTGGGGGGAAGGGGGTCACACAGACGGAAATTACTTGTTGAAACAAACGGATAACCCGGTGCTCAAGTAAAAGAAACATTTATCTTGGTTTATACTAAAAAACCTTTTAAAGACTGTGGTAAAAACACAGAGCATTCAAACCTTGAGGTGCTCAGCTCACCTCTCACACTGCTACAGCACAAGCACCACCATTACTGGGCACTCGGTCCCCACCTGTCTCCTCTCTGTCACACCGCTGTTATTTGCTTCATTGGCACAGAGGCACCAAGCCCAATATCTGAGGTTATCACACTTCTCAGAGTGGGATCATTTCTATTTCAAACCCCAGGAACTGTCAGTGAGCAACATCCCTGAGCTCTCTGCGTGTCCCAGCTGTGCAAAACGACAGCAGAGAATAGATTCAACCATGTCAGCCCTGGGAAGAGGCTGTTCCCTCACCTCTGAGATCTGTTTTGACTGAAACTTGTGTTTGTGAAGTCAGCCTCACAGGGTCTCCAAAGAGTATTATGCAATTAGCTTGAAAAAGCTACAGGCTCATTAAACCAGAGCATACTGACCCAGGTGTGAGGAAAGACTCTATAAACCTCAATTTCCTCAATCACATACCACTTCTGCCCAACTCCTTTCTTCCCCAATAAGGGTAATTAAATGGAATCCACACACATTTTATTGGGACACCTCTGGGACTCGACAGAAAATCTCCCATTTATCGCACCCTGTCTGTGAGTTAACAGGAATATAGCTCTGAAAAGGCAGAGGAGGACTAATCAAGGAGGATGGCTTTTCTTTTCCCCTGAGGTTCCACATCTTTTTTCATATTGGGCCACCTCCTATCCGGCTCTGGAATTTAAGGCTGGCAGTTCCCAGGAGTGTTTCAGACCCCAGTAGCTGATGGACACCTCAGCTTGGCACTCAGTGTGATTTACTGGGAGTGGGCAAGAGTGAGCCTGGATAGTAAAATCTGAAAGTCGATTTGGAACTGCAAGAACTGAGTCACACACAAGTTTGCCTCCTCATACCCAGAAACCCCATCCTCCTCCAGCTGTTCTCACCAAAGCCACTTCCCTCTCTGCTGCTGCTCTCAGGCTCCCACGGTGAGGAGGAGTCACAGTGAGGAGACCGAAAGCAGCAGCAGGAGCCGCGGCAGCAAATGAGCCCCCAGCCAGGTGAGGTGACAAGAGGTGACAAGAAGTGTGAGCTTTACCTCACTGCAAGCTTTTGGGGAAGCTGCTCAGAACAAGAGTCATGAGGGGTTCTTTCATCTGTATGTTTTGCCCAGCCTGCTGCCTTCTTGCACACTATTTCATCACAGATCTGCTTCCACTACCAATGGAGAAAGAACACCCAGAAATTCAGCAAAAGGGAGGGGAGAGGTGGGAAGACAAGGAAAGCCACGTTGTTCCAGCTGCCAGCACTTCCCAACTCAGTTCCAGTATGACCAGTGCTAAGGCAGCAATTCCTCTGCAGGGCATTCTTCCCTTTCCAAAGCACTTCAAAGGAGACTGACTGCCACAGCTCAGCAAAGTGTGAATTCCTGCTCATAACTGCATGTGATGTTATGCAAAAAATAAACACCATTTTTCACATACAGGACTATGACAGTCATCCAGCACTGCTTTTATCTGCCTAAAGTCTAAACGAGTCACCCACATCCCCTCTCACTTCAGAAGAGGTGGGCAGCCTTCTCGAGCAAGGCCTTACCCTGCCCTGCAGACACTGCAGATTGCATGGGATAAACGTCTGGAAGCACAGGCAGGAATGGGATCTGTAGCTGCCTCTAGGAACCTCCTCACCAGAGAATGGCTGTGGAGGACCAGCAAGATTTGGCCATTATTATCAGCAGCTACCACATCTGGAAACCACCAGCAGGTTGAAGCAGACTGCATCCCACAGAGTGCACCTGAGACCCACACCAACATGCTCCTCTCCTGATTTTTATTTCTTTAATTATTATTTCTCAGGATTTTGCATGTGAACAGTTACATTATTTCACCTCTACTGTTATATCATACCCTTGGCAGACCTTTCATAAGGAAAGGGAACAACAACTCAACTCCCTTTACAGATCATCAAAGACAACACAGCTGACTGAATGCCCAAACTTGTCAAGGAGGAAAAATTACTGAAGACTAGTGAACTCCTGGGAAGGTTTTAATTTCTAAATAAATCACTCCCCATATGTCTCAGCTTTCACAGCAACGTGCCATGTTTAATTATATCCACTTCTACTCCAATGAAGGTTTGCAAGGTTTAACTTGTTAACTTTTGAACACCAGTCTGAAGATGGAAGATTAATATGCAATAGTGTTGCTGACAAGTGTAATAAGCCCACAGTTTGTGGTTAGAAAACACTTTCAGTCCAAGAAAAGAGAATTGCATATCTTGGGTTGATGATGGAAAGCTCTGCAGGGTAAAAGCTAACGGTGCACCCAAAGGAGTCTGATGCAAGGTCCTAAAGAGAAGGAAACATCAACAGTCCCTGCCAGCAACCAAAGCAAAGCAGATTTTGTTGGGTAACTGATATCTGCAGGTGAAGCAGATCTGTTCAGTGACAGAAAATGTGCCACTTTTAAGGCTGCAGGAGCCTTAAAATTCCCTACCACCAACCTTAGTTTATACAAAGAATACAAAGGGCTCTGAGGCTCCTGCTTCCAAAGGGTTATCTCCTCCCAGCTGACGGACCCGTAGCTCAAGAAAACAGATCCCCAATGAATAATGACTTGCCTCTTATGTGAGAGGAATGGAGTCATAACTCAGAGCTGACCATGGTGTGTTTATGCAGAGCCATGCTGAGGTCAGGATTTATTTCATATCATGGCAGAAACAGCTTATTAGTCACCAGCACTTCATTCTTGGACAGCACAAAGTGATAATTCCCATAACTTACCAGCTTTGTTTTTCAGGATCATTAATTAAACCCTGAAACTCCCCAAGATAAATGACAGCAGAAATTCCTTCATGAACAAGGAAGAAGACAAATTGACTTTGTGTGTTCTTTATTGCTGACATAACTCCACAATATATTGCAATATCCTGTACCTGGATCTACGTGGAATCGCTCCAGGAGCCTGAAGACCAGCTTGCTGAGTGTTCTGTGGTTAAATTTTTCTGGTTTGTATCTGGACAGGCCTTGATATGGTCTGTAACAACATCAGAAATACATACCTGTGGCATCACCTAAAGGATGTTTCCCAAATAGCAGATATTTAACAGCAGAGGGATTGGGGTTTGCTGGTGTTGGTAATGACAAGCTACAGCAAAAAGCCAACAGTATAACCACACAAATTTCAGTCAATGACTGAAGCAAGTCTAGAAGTTCATTTTAAAGAAAGTGAGCAATTCCTTCTCATCTCTTTTTCAGAGCTAAGACTGCAAGTATTGCAGCTACACTGTGACTCTGTGCTGCTGGGTCTGTGACTGGCAGGAGTTACTCTAGTGAGAGGCAAGTCAGAAATTAAAGCACACACCACAATTTGACGAGCACATGAAGGTTAACCACTTGCATCTCTTGTTTTTCTGCCACTTCATCACAGTATTATCTTCCTGCCAAACCTGTACAACCGATACTGAAACTCACCCTTGTCTGCAGCAGAGCACAAGAGGCTGATTGCTCCAGCCTCCCTTTGATACTGCTCTGTTACAGGGATGTGCTGCACAGGTTTCATTGCACTCCTGCTCCTGGCAGGAACGGAGCATCTGTCAAGAGCAACAATTCCTCTGTCCTGTGGGCCAGGGCGTCTGAGAAGGCTCTGGCAAAGACACCAGAAATTCCTCTTTCTCAGCTCAAAGTCAATCTTTTGCACTGCCTTACACTGAGACACGACTGCAGACAGACAACCAGGGAACACACTGTGCTCTGGCAGCACCTTGGCCCGGCTGTGCAGAAAGGCAACAAGTGTTTCTACCTTGTGACGTCTCTGATGTTGACACCAGGTTCACACCACGAGTCCAGGATCTGCAGGAGCTTGCTCTGGAGCTCAGGATATTCTCCCACATAATCTTCCACCACATTGGCTTTATCCTGGAGCAGCAGTGGGATGCACATCTAGGAGAAGAAATGACCTCTGATCCCCACGGAGGCCACAGAAGGCACGGAGAGGGTCCATGACTAAATCCTGGCAGAGGACTGTCCCATTCCCTGCATCCCAGGCACAGTGAGCAAGTCCCAACCCCCTCCTCAGCCCACCAGTGCTGCCTATGAGGGTGCTCTGACGTTTTAACAAATATCAGCAAAGCTTCAATGCAGCAAAAGCACTGACCTCCATCCCAGTGCTGTACACAGCAAGGATTTGTTGTAACAGAGGCTGCAGCCAGAACAACAGGGCAGGAGGCTGGAATGGGGTCTAACGAAATACATTCTGTGCCTAACCTGGATGTAAAGGTACATCATCAATGCAAAGGTACTTCTGGGGAATGAAGTAAAGCCTCAAGTGAAAGGCAGCATGATGGATGTCCTGCTGAACAAAAGGTGGATCTGATGACAGAGGAGCCTGCAGAGGAAATGACTCACCTTCTCCACATCTTGATCTGGCTGTAATTTCAGCTTAATACTCAGTATGGCTGCCTAGAAATTATAAATAAAAAAAGTTGTGTATTTAGAAGAACCCCACAGTGGATAAATGGACTATTATACACATTTTTAATGTGTTAATTATTTCTGTTACGTTGTCAAGCACAAATCCTGCAAAGATTTGGTCACAGACATTCCACTTCCAAATGTACAAGAACACTCCTGGCAGAGCTGCATATCGTGATTAGCAACATCTCCTGGAGCAAAAATTAAAGATCACGTTGTCAGGCAGAAAGAGAGAAAGTGAAGCACTTGGATAAAACCAGCTGAGATGGCTACGGTAAAAAACACCTGACCCAGCACACCTTTCTGAGACTCTGAAGTTCTGTAAAATAGTTGGATTTTGTGAAAGCAACTCAAGATTTAGAACACCCTGAAATCAAGAGGTTTCAGTTTTCCCAGTTCCTGTGTTGCTCCACACCCCTGACAGCACCAAGGTTCACCAGAGGCAGCAAGATGGGAAGAACTGTATTTCTCCCTTTTGTGGGATTTCCAAATCTTTCATAAGCCAAGACCTACCACATTCACAAATTGCCTCCAAATCAGGATCTTCTGCAGCAAGGAACCTGCTGGGCTGAACTGCAGGAACTCAGGCTCAGGAGAGCTGGTTCAGCCGCTGCCTGTCCCACCCCAGCTGGGGATTACAGGAATGGAGGAAGCTCTAACTGTGCATTGCTTGGGAGGCACAGACACCAACTAGGATTCACAGTAGTTAATACTGTCTAATTTCTGAAGCGTGTAAGAACACTTGGATCTCAAATACAGAATAAGCACATAGTGGGTTGCTTTAATATAGTGCATTGTGCCAGTGACTGGAGTAATAAGGGCAAGGAGCCTTTGAGCACCTCTGTGTCAGCGCTGAACAGGCAACAGGGGAATGAGGAGGTTTTACACAAGTGTCTTTCTAACTGCTTTGCAAAGTTAGGCTGTATTTTTCAGAATGGTTCTCAGCAGTATTGAAAACACTAACCCTGCCATAGCACTACATGGAACCCACCGAGTTCACAAATGCCTGTGTACTCAAATGTGGATAAAACCAGTGTGGTAGGGCTTGGAGGAAAAGCTCTTCCACAGATTTCTCTGCTCTCTGTGATGGATTTTGAGAGAAACATCAGGAAAATTATGCATTTGTCAAAATATTTGCATTTTAGAACTGTGTTATTTGTTAGAATGTAGAATCATAGAATGGTTCAGTTCCAACCCCCCCGCTGTGAGCAGGGACATCTTCATCTGGATCAGAGTGCTCAGAGCCTCCATCCAGCCTGACCTGGAATTTTTCCAGGAATGGAATATCCACAGCTTCTCTGGGCAACCTGTGCCAGTGTACCACCACCCTAATTGTGAAAAAATCCCTTATATCTAATCTAAATCTCCCCTCTATTAGTTTAAAACCATCACCCCTTGTCCTACCACTGCAGGCTCTGCTAAAATGTTTGTCCCCATCTTTCTTATAGGCCCCCTAATATGTAAGGAAATGTAATGCAGGAACAGATGTGCCTTTCCCCAAGGAAACACAACCCCCACCACTACACATCACATGCCTGAAAACTTTCTAGAAAGATTTAACCAAAAAAGTACCCCAAGGGGGGGCAGGACACACCTTGAAATTCATTTTCTGTGATCTCTCCCAGCATTTGAGTGACACCTGAACTCAGCCCATCGCTGGCAGCACATGTTCTGCAGAGCCAGCCAAGCCCCACAGACACCTCAGCTCATCTGAGCCTTGCTCACAGCAGAAGCCATGGATTATGTTACTTTCTGGGGAATTCATGCCTGTGTTTCATCCACTGCACCACAGACTGAGTGTGCAAAAGCAGAGAACCAATGCACATTATGGAAGTTCAGCTGTTAAATCCTTCTGTCCCAGTTAGCAGCTGGAAAACATTAGTTTTTTATGTTTGGTTTGGGTTTGGTTTTGGGGGGCCTTAGGGGGGGTTTGGTTTTTTGAACACTGAAAGTCCAGGCTTCATCCCCAAAAGAGAAATCAAGAGAGGAGCTTTAAGTGACAAAAGCAGAAACCACCATTAATGCAGAGACTGCTACAAACAGGTACTGGACAGAAAGGTACATGAGCATCATTCAGCCCAACTAAACCTCAGCCAAATCTCTTACTCCAGATTATTCCACCTCTTAGAAGCCAATAACTCCTCTGCTCCACAAGCATCAAGGTCCTTTTCTCTCAAATTATCAGCTTAACATCCCAAAGTTCAAACCAAGTGATTATTCTCCACTGGTAGACAAGTTGAAGGGTGCTACTTCTGGTCTGGACCTGAAGAAGGGGCTTGGGACTCCAAAGCTTTGGCAGCTGATTTTGTTTTCCCCCAGCTCCTCAGTTTGCTGAATTAAAGGAAATCATTAAAAAAAAAAAGACCTGTAGCTCTCCAAACCTTGTTTCACCATTTGATCTCATGAGTGCCTTTACTGTACCGTTAGCTTAAACCTGCAACATCCAGCGGTTCCCTAATGGCTTTTTAATGTTCAGATTAACCTAATTGCAGCCCTGTTATCTAAACGGCAGAGCTTTATCTCCAGCTCTGTTAACTGTACAGATGACTTAATCAGATGAACATGCACAGTGTCAGGTTGGGTTTTCCTCTTTTCCTGGTTGGATATTCCACCCTGTACCAAAGGGTGTAGATGTAGGTGTAGATGTTCATTTGTCCAGAGCATGGAGAGCCCTCACCTTCCCACCCCAGGGCTGGCAGACCCAGCTCCACCACGCCGGGGCTGGAGGACAGAGGAACTTCAAGCAGATTCATAGAATCCTTAAGGTTGGAAAAGACCTTTAAGTTTACCAAGTCTAACCTCAACCCAGCACCGCCACCATGTTCACCACTAAACCATGTCCCCAAGTGCCACATCCATATGTTCTTTGAACAGTTCCAGGGATGGCGAATCCACCACTGCTCTGGCAGCTGTTCCAAAGCTTTGCGTGAGCTGGTTTTTAACGGCAATTTAACATCCTCCAGCTCAAGATGGTGATGGAGCAGCCACCCCAGTTGTGCTGCTGGCAGAACCTTCCCTCAGCAGGGAACACCAGCAGCCTTGTCCACGCTTGGAACTGAACGTGGAAGAAGCAGCATGACCTGGGCCCCTGGAACAAGCACCAGGCTGGATCGCAGGGTGCAGTTACACGGGCTGGCGGCCGAGCAGGGAGGACAAGAGAGATAACATCAGCGTGTTTACAATGGGAATAGCAAGAGAAGAGATATGAGTAACTGTAATAAAGATGAAAGTGCTTGGCAGCTGTGTCTGTGGTCTCAACTTCGAGCTATTTTAAGATTTTGTTTTGTTATTATCGTGTTTTGAATTGTTTCACTCCACAAACAAGTTTTGTGTAAAACGACCCTATTTTTAACAGTCTGTTTATAGCTGATAAGATCTCCAGCAAAGCAACACCTCATTCGCAGACTCATTTTGTAGTTAGAAAACAAACACTTCAATGAGGCTGTAACTGAACGGGTGAGAATCCCCCTCCCCACCCAGAACCAGCATTCCCCACCTGCAGGGCTGCACTCCCAGGCTGGGCTGGAAGGTGAGCCAGGGGAGCTGGAAGGTGGCAATCCCATTCATCCAAGTGTAGATCCTCAGGCTGGATCAGTGGGGCAACACAAATCCTGAGTAGCAGGTACCCCCCTCCCCACTTCACCAGCTGACCATTAAGAGGAAAAAATCGAGTTAGGATGCAGGAACGTGGGGAAGCTCTGGGAATGCTGAGATACTGGCAGCTTATCAGGGTCTACTCACACCCTCAAACTCCAAAGAGAACATGTTATTGTCGGGGCTGGTGGTACAAGGAGCCTTTTCACAAAAATACATTTCATACACAGAGTTTCTAGCATGTAATCTAATAACAGCAATAATTAGCATTATTGCTGCACCTAACAATATTCAACCTGTACTAAAACCCCAGGTGATAACAAACGTGGGGAAGGCTGATCCCTCTCTTGCCTTGAACCCCCAAGTGTACACAGGAGAGCTGCATGATGAGCCACTGCTTAGTACAGGAGAAAAGCTGATGGCCCATTACCTCATCCAAATCCTGTCAAAGCTCCTGAGTCTTCTCATCCTCAGGGAGCTTTGGGTCATTCTTTCACTTAATGATGGTGAAAGCAAAAATCCTATTTGGACATTTTGCAACAGTTTAGTCTCCCAAGGACAGACACCTAAAATGTAGCAGAGGGCTGGCTGAGGCTGGGGGACATCCAAAGCTACATTGAATCCTACCTAAACCGTGTGTAGGTGCATTGACCAAAGGATGGGGGAAGTTTCCCAAGCTTGACATGTCGAGGCCCAGCCACGAGCACCAGACCACTCCTCCTGTCACGCGATTGCAACACCAAGAGCATGGGAAAGTGGGGAGTGTTTGGAGGTGAGTGCACGGCCCAGAGCACCCTGCACCAACAGCTGATCCTCTCGGCTTGTTTTGAATGCAATTGGCTCTGTCTCATCTAAAAATGACTATTCTTTCCATGTACAGCATGAGGTGCAGGAAGCCACACAAGATCTTATCTGCAAGGGCATGTGCACTTGGGTGGTGTCTACACTGACAATTTTCCCACAGTGGGGTTCACATCAGAAGAATAACCTCTTCAGTAGAACTGCTTGGAGTGGTGATGCACGACAGATACCAGTGAGTGGTTTCTGATGACTCCTGTGTTACTTAGCTCTGCTTGCAAGCTGGGACAGCACAAGGGTAAATAAGTCTGTGCCTGACTTAGTGCACTATTTCTGAACCAAAGGCAAACGAATTTCTAAAAACCCATAGAATAAACCAAACAACAGAACCAGACTTTGCAGAGGAGGATCCAACGTCACCTCCAGGAAAATCACAGTGATCAAAGCTTGGATAATGGCAGAAATAACTGAGTAAAAGGCACATCAGGTATTAATCATTGGGCACATCTGGTTTGTGTTTTGGAATCACTCATTTCAAACTTGTGGCTCATCAGCTTTGCTGGAGTTCTGAGTGCATCCCTGCACAGTGTATGACATCAGGTTCCATGGTTGATTGCTTCCTGCTCAAAGGGCACTCGACACACACAGCTGGCTGAGGAGGTCTGCAGAAACGAGGAAAACACAAGATTTCTCAGGTCTACTCTCAAGGGACTATGAAGGAGTGGGACCATCTACATGAAGCAGTGACAGGTTACTCCTAGCTAAAGGATTTGAGGTGGAGAAGTAAAAGTCAAGGTTGAAATATGCCTGTGCACAGGTGAGGGGAGGAGGCAACTGAGACCAACGCTTCTATGATTTGTCTTCCTCAGGTCACTCAGCAGTTTTAAATGGGGTTTAACTGGTCAGTGCCCCCTCGAGCACTCCTTTGGAGCACTGCCCAAGGCTCCTGTGGGCTCAGGCCACCCACCTTCCCAGATCCACACTCTCTGCACGGCTGGATCTGCTGCTCATCCTCCTGGCTTCTCCCAGAGCCCAGAGATGCTGGCAGGAGGAGCAGAACACTACCATCTCATTTACCATCTCCCAGCATCGTTCAAGCTCCTTCCCCGCCATTCCCCAGGCAGAGGCCAAGAGCAGAGCCGCTCCCAAAGCTGCAGGGTCGGGAGCAGGTGGCAGTGGCCCGTGCATGGCCTGTGGGTTTGGCTCCCTCTGCTCTGGAGGGGCATCATCTGGCAGGAAACGTGCCAGTAAAGCTGTCCTTGAGCAGCAGAGCAACTTAATAGGAAAAAACGGTTGAGACTAACATCATCATCTTTATGTGAGAAACAATTGCTGTAACATTTTCCTTGGTTTTCCTATCCATTATAATTCTTACTTTAAAAGAAACAAGGAAAGTCAAATGCACATGCTTTAAAACACAGCAAAAATTGAACGAGCCTTTGTATAATTAAGGTGGTGAATGGAGGGAAGCAGCAGTATCAGAGACCTTTCCCTGGCCTGAGAACAGCTCAAAAAAAGTCAGAGTGAAGGAATCCAGAATCTGATCAATGCTAACACTGATCTCTACTGACAGATCTGCAAAGATACATTGTGTGCACTCCAGCACTATGTATGAAGTAGGACTACAAACACCAACATCCCTAACTTGGTGTTCAAAGCATCATAGCACTGAAAGTGAAGGTCATGGTGGGGATTGAACTGGTCATTGTTACACCTTTGATTATTTGTGCTCCTTTAAGTTTAACTCTGGTCAACCATCCTTTCTATTACACCTGCAGGAGTATGCATTGCTGACAAAAACTTGAAATTCTGTGTCTAAACAGCTTTTTCTCTGGGTACTCCAACATATTTTATGGCAAATTTTAACTACTGAACTCTAATAGATAACCCATATTATCTTAATTGAAAGAGCAAACATTAATCAAATTTCACATATGGAATGATCCTTCCTTATATGTAGAAATTAATGGATGAAACATTAGCAAAGAAAATATACTCTACTTTTGAAAACAGAGAAATCTGAATGGACAGCAACTGAAAAGCCTGTTAAAAACAAAATGCTACCAGCTTCATCCAATATTCTTGTTTAAGAAGCAAAGTGATGAAGGAGAGAGAAATGCTGCGAATCACCGACACAGAGAGGCTGGAGTGGGAGGTCTCTCAGGCCCAAGAATATTTCTGGTTGTCAGAGGCTAAAAAGATTATTTATTGTTTCCTTCCTAAACCCAGCTCCACTGCCACCTGTTCAGAATTTACTATAAAGCTGTTAAACAAGACGAGAACTTTGATGCTGACTGTGAAAACAAGTTTCACTGTATCTGACCCGAGCAGCACTCACTGCTGATCCAGAAGCAAAGGAATTTGATTTTTTTCTTTAAGCACAGCTATCTTTTTACCTTTATAAGCTGTTTAAAAAAATGTAAATAAAATAACTCAGTGGACAATAGAGGGCATTCATCCCCCAGAAAGACAGCCGCCACCCTTAGACATGAAATATCGCAGCACATTAAGTCATGAGACCCCGCTAATCAAAGCTGACAGGGCCCTGAATGTGATTTCTGCTGAGACTTAGCGATATCATGGGGCACTGAAGCATGCACAGCCTGCCAGACTGCCCCTGTTCATGTGACAATGGCTTTTATTCCCCAAAGGGGCCTGCGAGTGACAAGAGTCTCCTTTGTCTCTGGGCTCCCGAATTCGCAGTGCAAGAGAGGTTCATTCAACCAGCCCCAGACACTCTTTGAAAGGCTGAAGTGTAACATAAGATGACCATGAAACACTAGCTTGCCTTCTGCCTACCCCTCATTCTTCTCCAGCACAGCCTGGCCTATTCAGGGCCTCTCGCAGCCCCGCTCGCGCTGCATTACCCCCGGTCTGCTGAATCCCCGCATTGTCCCGGCCCCGCACCCAGAGCCCTTCCCACACCACATCTCCCAGCACCCAGAGCCCT